AAAAAAAAAGAAAAAAACATCTCTCTTACTTGTATAAATCATTCTTTGTCATTCTTCGACCGCGTTCCTTTTCATACAGTACCTCAAGCCCAAGTTTAATCTCTGCCTGTAGACACGATCCACTTGTTAATCGCAGCCACAAGAGTGCCGTTCCCCGGGCATCCAATGTACAATCTATCATCTTTAATTCCCCAGAGGCAATCACTAGTCCATTACGCAGCACCGCCACTTCTAATAAGGAATTATCATACAATTGTAAACGAAAGGCTTGTCGTCGTAAATTCGCTGTATAAAATGGTACATGATCTCCACTAGAGTTTTTGTCATTCATATATATCATTCCAGCACTATCCTTTGTACGAGCCGATACTGCTCTAGAGAGAAAACTTTGATGATCACTTTTTAATTGTACAGTAATTTTAAATCGTTCACCCCCACGATCACGCCGCATCATCTCTCCACCACTCACAACAGTTCCCTGCGCATCTGAAGAGCCAATATTAATATTAACATTAACTCCAGCAGCCGTAGCACTGGCATTCAACACCGTCACACTTCCAGCGAAATCTGAGGGAGCACTCGTAAGAGATGGACCAGAAGAATTTGTTGTCGTTGTTGTTGGTACAACAGGTCCCATATTTGTAAAGGGAAGTAGAAATCGACAACGATGGAGAACAACACGGTAGCGTTTTTCTGAAGTTTCACCTTTTCCAAGTATTGTACGTTCAATCTCACGAAAACGTGATTGATAATTTCGTGGTTGATTAAGTCGTTGATAGATATTTGTCATGACATATCGATATTGTGATTTCGTCAAGTCAAAGAGTTGTGAAAGACGTCGAAGCATATCATCTACACCAGGTTCTAAAAGATGCGGCATTAAAAAATATTCTTTAATAATAGATTGAAAACTGCGTATATTACAACGATTTGGAGAAATAAGAATAAGTTCACGTGTTTTATTTAATGCATTCATTACAGAAGGCCATGCCGTTTCTGCAATTTCACCACGGTAAGACTCCTCTAAGAGATTAACAAGAGCAAGACATGCTTCTTGTCGTTCTTCAGCTTGTACATTAGCTGCCATCTTAAAAAGTTTATCTCGATGTCTTTGCAAAACAACATTTGCATGCTCATGTCTTTGTCCAAAAGACTCATCAAGGAGTTTAATCCGTTCTGGTAATAATACTGACAACAATTCTCGTGTACGTAATATATCTTCCCCATGTTCTAACTCCATTTGTAAATCTTCAATCCGTTGTTCCTGTACCTGTGTATCATACAACTGACGTGATCGTTCTCCCACACCGTACTCCACTGGAAGCGGTCGATGACGTCTTTGCGATCCCTCATCATCACCGAGTCGTAATTTTTTATCTGTTCTTTGATGTGCACTACGTGGTTGTGAACTAAACGGTGTGGCGTGTTCAGAGTTATTTATTGGTGGTGGTGGTGAGGGTGATGGGGATATACATAGTAAAGCTGATGTTTCTCTTCTTCGTCGTCGTCGTCGTCGTTCCCGTTGCATATCGGCTGGACATAATCCATACACCATTGTTCCTCTTGCCCGACGAAGGAGATCCTGAAAGAGAACACTCACTCGTCTATTTTCACTCTGGCTCGTAGAGGTTCGACTCATTCGTTTCTCTGAAGTTTGATAAGTGGCAGTATCGTTAGGGAATGATAGGGTTGGAGTTCTGTTGGGTAATATACTATTCTCAACTCCCCAGGAAACATCTTCCATGTGTAAATGTGTCTCTTTACTCTTACTTTCATTATTATCTTCCCTATCTTCATTATCTTGTAAAAGGTTTTCTTCTTGTTGTTGTGTAAGGAGCATTGGAGTCATAATACCATTTCGAGCCTTTTCCACTTCCATTCGACTTTTCCTTAGTTCTTTTCGTAAAAGTACCCTATCACTCGCATTATCACCAGAGAGTTGAAGTAATTTAATACGTTCTCGCCGTGCAGCAGCTGCCGCTACATTTTCTTTTCTTTTCTTTAGTTGTTCTTCCTCCCTTGACGCTGCTGAACTTGAATCTGTGGAACTCTCAGAGCCTTCTACAGACTCTGAACTGCTCTCATCATCCTCATCCACTATTCTAACATTTCGGTTATTTCCTGATGCCCTAATAGAGGTTTGCCGTTTCCATCGACGACGAACATTACGTCCACGTTCTTTCAGTACCTTCATTCTTGTTTCAAATTGTCGAAGTTCAAGCATTGGAACTCCTTGAACTCTTTTGTTACCATTTATTAAACTATTACGATCAGACTTCATAACACCACGTTCAGCGAGAAATTCCTTCGCTGTTGTTCCTGTCACAACTTTACTTTGAATCTCTCCTACCTTTTGTAGTCTCACAGTTGCGGGTAACAGTGCGGTGTATGTGGAAGGATCAAACTCGTGTGAAGGTCCATTTCGACGATGACGTTGATGATCATTTCTCTTTGAAATATCTGTACATTGAGAGGAGTGTTCGTTTGATACGTTAATAGCACCTTTCCTTACGCCCTCGGATGAGACTAATTGCGCCAAGGAATGTGCACGTGATGAGCTCGCCATAGTAGTTATTGTACCTCTTCCCATTGGTGTCATTGTTTGGGATGAAGTGGTTGGTGGGGCTTCTTTAAATCCACGATCATAACCACCCCCCATAGAATTTAACAATCGCATCTCCTCTGAATCACATAAACTTACCGTGTTACCATTACCAATGGTATTATAGGCAGAATCTAAATTACCCTTTGGGTCTTGAACATTAAATAACAAAGTTGTCCCGCCATGGTGTCGTGGTGCTATTTTAGTATTCTCATGCTGTCGCCCCATACGTTCATATCTCGTTTTCGCTCCTCCTCCTACTCCTACTCCTCCTGATGCTGCTGCTGCTGCTGCTGCTGCTGCTGCTTTCTGCTTTAATGCTGGGAGCAGCGGTAGGGCGACTGGAGTTGGCATTACGGTGGATGTGGGTGGTGTTAAGATGGGGGGACTTCTCCCAGGTGTGGAGGTTTGAGTTAATGACATTTAGAACCAAAACTAACACACACACACACACACACCGGCTGTATTTCACGTACAATCAAATATATATATATATATATATATATATATTACCCCTGTGCGTGGTATATTATCAATGGCTAATAAAAGAAGAAAAGGGAAAAGAGAAAAAAGACACATGTGACAAAAAAAAAAAACAAGAACAAATAAAAGAAAGGAAAAACGGGGGAAAAACATGATAATGCTGATTTATCCTTCAATACCAACAATAGGAAGAAACAATTACAGTTATACTATAAACTATGAGAAAAAGGAACAAAAGTAGATAGAAATGGAGAAAAAAAAAACCCCTGGTATTCACATTTTTGTAAAAAATAAAAAATAAAAATAAATAAATAAGGTCAAGAAAACAATGAAATTATTGTTTTTGTTTTTTTCTGCTTGTTTCTCATTGATAGCGATGAAACAAAGGAAAAAAAAAGAAGCACTGGAAAAAAAAAATTCTTTTTTTTCCTCTAGCAATATATGGACAATTGCCCATATGGCATTCAGAGAGGAGTTCAGGCGTATGAAGTCATTTTAGAAACCATAGAGAGAAAACGAAAATAAAATAAAAAAAAAATATGCTTTTATATTTACCACCAATAAGGTGTAAGGAAGTATTGTTCATATTTCAATATGGACTCCTTACTCTATAGATCCTTTAGCTGGTCTCTATTATTGCTTCCTCTGCACGCTCTATTTATAATAATGGCAGCTTGTGGGTTTTTTTTT